TTTTGACCTAGGCCTTCCTTACCGTGATGAGACTGATGATAAAGTTACCATAGAAAGTGCAGAAGCAACTCTCAAGTATGTTATTTTATACAATGTTGAATTTAGAGGGGTTAAAATTGATTATTATACATTTTGATGTTTATCTAATAGTTGTACTGCTATGTAGGTACAATGTAGCAATCAAGTGTGCAACTATCACTCCAGGTTTGTTTGTCAGATCTTAGCATATTCTTTTAGTTTTTACCTTCATTTGGTGTTTATGTGCATACATATATGTTTGAGGACATCCGATGTATTGCTTGTTCAAGAATCATATTGATTGAATTGCTGCATGGTAATGTTCCATTCATTTTTAGATGATGGCAGAGCTTATACTAGTCTTATATTTGCAGATGAAGCTCGTGTGAAGGAGTTTGGCCTGAAGCAAATGTGGAAAAGTCCAAATGGGACAATTAGGAACATTTTGAATGGTAACACAACTTCCACTGTTTGTTGTTTGTTAAAAGCTAAATAACTTACGGGTTGTTTTTTGCAAATTTTTTCAGGAACTGTCTTCAGAGAACCAATTCTTTGCAAAAACATTCCCCGCCTTGTTCCTGGTACTTATTTTGAAATTTTCTTTGTAGTTACTTTTTGATGAATGAAGGTGTTGAATATTTTAACTTTATCAGGTTGGACAAAGGCAATATGTATTGGAAGACATGCTTTTGGTGATCAATATAGGGCCACTGACACAGTAATTAAAGGAGCTGGAAAGTTGAAGTTGGTGTTTGGTATACTTAATTCTTATTGGATTTAGATGCCTTTTTGAGATTGTGTTACCATACAGAGTTCTTAGGGAGATAGCGTACATTAACATTATACTTTTTGACAACTAATTTTTTTTTTTTTTTAATTCTATTTTTATAGTTCCAGAAGGCCAAGGTGAAAAGACTGAATTAGAGGTTTTTAACTTTACCGGTGAAGGAGGTGTTTCATTGGCTATGTACAATACTGATGAGGTAGATTCTGCAGTATCTTTTATCAGTTTGATGGACTTGTGGATTTGTGCTAGTTATTGAACTTATACCTATTTTTTAACGTGTCATGCAGTCTATTAGATCTTTTGCTGAGGCTTCTATGGCAACTGCTTATGAGAAAAAATGGCCACTTTATCTTAGCACCAAAAATACAATTCTTAAGAAATATGATGGAAGGTGTGCAATTCATTTTTAGCTTATTATATATCTATTTTCTAAAACATTTGCTGCACTGGTCCCCAGTTTAATTGTATTCATTTATTGGTTGTAGATTCAAGGACATATTTCAAGAAGTTTATGAAGCAAGCTGGAAATCAAAGTATGAGGCTGCTGGTATATGGTGAGTGATCAAATACCCTTGTTTTGAGAAAATAAATGTTCATATTATACTATTTTTCATACTTACCTGTTTGATTTGGAAGGTATGAGCATCGGCTTATTGATGATATGGTGGCATATGCACTCAAGAGTGAAGGAGGATATGTATGGGCATGCAAAAACTATGATGGAGATGTCCAGAGCGATTTCTTAGCTCAAGGTTTGTATATTATGCTTGTCTGTTAATCACTCTCTTTTAGCTTTTCATATGCACTGGTTTCTTTTCCTCTTTAACTAATATCTATTTACACTTTTTCAGGTTTTGGATCATTGGGTTTGATGACATCTGTATTGGTAGGTGTTATTACAAGTAGTTATGCATACTTTTATGTGTGATTTTCATTCTTATCTTTATTGAAAATCCTTCTCTCTGTCTCTTTCCCAGTGGCTGTAGCAGTTCTCTAAGAATCAAATCAACCAATTTCTTATAAATGATTAAATGAATTGAACCAGATTTTCTATTTATTCATTAAATCAAGATTAATAAATTCCTTTGCTAATTCATTGAGAGTTCTTGGTGTCTGCTCTTTGATACTTATTGCATAATGTGATGGGTTTAGGTTTGCCCTGATGGAAAGACTATTGAAGCAGAAGCAGCCCATGGTACAGTTACCCGTCATTACAGGGTTCATCAGAAGGGAGGGGAAACCAGCACAAATAGCATAGCATCCATTTTTGCCTGGACAAGAGGGCTAGCCCACAGGTATATTACTGTTTAGTTTGCGTAGTTGAGTGATAAGCTTTACTCATTTTATTAGAAACCCTTTGCATTCATTATTATACAATGACGGGTAATTTATATGGCTTTATGCTGACAGGGCAAAACTGGATGACAATGCTAAACTCTTGGATTTCACTGAAAAGCTAGAGGCAGCTTGCATTGGAGTAGTAGAGTCTGGGAAGATGACCAAGGATTTGGCACTTATTATTCATGGATCGAAGTAGGTTACTTGTCATTGTTGCGTTGTTACAAGGCCAAATACTTCTGGTTTTCTACTTGACATAATTAGTAAACTTAATGTATAATTCTTGCGAGTAGGCTATCAAGGGAGCAATACTTGAACACACAGGAATTCATTGATGCTGTGGCAGCTGAGCTTAAAGAGAAGCTTTCTGCATAGGCTTGATTTTAGGTAAACTGCCACTAATTCCCTTCATACTTGAGCACAAAAAAGCAGATTATATGTTCTTTCGTTATGGGACCCGGGTGGGTAAGGGTGGAATGTGCATGGAAGTATGCTTAAAATGTGGTGTGTGTGTGTTGTTTTTTTTTCTTTTTTCAGAAGCTATTATTATTATTATCTGAGAAAAATTCTCACGCAGTACTTTTAAGTTTTTTTCAACTTAATTATTATACTTTTAAATATATAAAATATATATTTTTTAAAGTTAATGGGCCATATATTCCACCTCACTTGTTATCGCTGAAGGGTTTTTGGTTTTTCTTTGTTTTTTGTGGCATTGTCAGACAGGTGAAAAAAGACTAGACCAGAAAGGAATCGTATGCATTCTTCGTAAGAAATAAGAAAAGGAAACGAAGCATTGGTCGTAGGCCACTTACTTTTCCTTCATTTGTGTATTGGGTGGGAATGCGAGGGTTGGCTGTTTCCTCATATTGTTTGAACTGAATTTGTCTTTTGTAATTTTGAACTAATCTCTTGCAACTTCTATTGGATTTTTCTGCTTTTCTGCTGATTTTACTTTGCTTGTTTGACTTATTATTCCGCATATTCCGCACTTCAGACATGAAAGGGAATCATTCTTCCTATGTCTTGAGTGGTTCATAATATGTTAAAATATAAAAAAATTTAGTAAATAATATTTTTATGTGAAATCTTTTATAAAGTTTTAATATATTTTCATAATTTTTAAATGAATTTTTAGTAATATCCAATAAATGTCAAATATTTAAAATCATAAGCAATTTAGTAATATAGATATATTCTTAATAATGTACTTCTAAATCAATTATTAGAGTTTGTATTAAAATATTTTCCATCATCAATGTTATAATTTACGAAGCTATTAAATTTGATAAAAATGCAAAAAATGTTAACAATTTTTAAAGATGAGTGTAAGTAAGTAATAATAATAATAATATTTTATTAGTTTTTTTATTACACCTAAAACTTTAATACAATAGATCTACACTTTTTTAATAAAATTTATTTTGTTTTAGGTAATTAGCTTTATAGATCTATTAATATCATTGTGTATACTTTTGTTTAAATGAGTTTGAAAATTGATTCAACTTTTAAATTTTGTTAATATTCTTTTCTAAGATGACAACTTTACGAGAGATAGTTTAATTATTTTTTATTATATAACTAAATTTATTTTTTCTATTAAAAAATCTTAAAAGTTAATATTAACAAAATTTTAAAAATATTAAGAAATACGGATGAATAACATAGTAGTTTATTTTAAATAAATTTTTAACCTTAATTTTTAGTGACAATGATATGTTTAAATATATAATAAATAAATAAAATAAAACAAAATTATTAAATTTTTTTAGATTTAAAATAAAAAAATGTAATTGACAACTAAATAATGTAATTATACTTTACTTTCCCTTTTAAGACCAATGGTATCAAGTTATATCTTATGCCACCACCAACTATTATAGTATGTAAGTACATTTGAAACTGTCACCTTAACATAATTGTCAACTATTACAGTATTTGCACAAGTAATTATATGATATTTTACAGCTATAAATGTCATATATTCATAACATACAACTTATTATAAATGTCAAAATCTAAAAATTTCAAAGTAAATCTACAGCTGTGAATTAAGTGGGTTAATCGTTATCAATTTACTCATCGATATTCACGTAAATTATATTAGATCAAATAATTTATACTAAACTATTAAAACAATATTAAATTATAAAAATTACCAGATTAAATTATGTAAATCAAACCAATTCTAAGTAAATATAGAACATAACAAAAATCAATTTTAAAAAAAAAATTTTAATTAATAAATATAAATAAATTACCAACTCTGCAATATTCCACGTATATACCCATTATCGCCATAACAGTTGATATTTTGTTGCTACGTAATTTTTTTTAACTTTCTTCTTTCATTGTTGTAACTAGTTTCAGTATTAAAAAAGTACATCCATATACATAAGTTGCTTAAATACGAAACAATTTATAATCATAATAAGTTCATAAGTCACAACTCACAAGTTACACTTAGATAAGTTCAACTTATAGATATAATTTTAGCTTAAAGCAACTTATAATTGAGCTCAGGCCGGACAGTATTCAACACTATAAAAGCATATTTGATTTCTGCTTTAAAAACATTTTTCTATTTTAAAAAATAAAATATAATACAAATTTATTTTAAAATATAACTCAAACAAGTTAGGTCTTTCAAATTGAATGACTTATTTAAAATTAAAAGTTATTTTACTTTGTTTGACTTATTTATTTTAAAAAAGGAAATATTATAATTTTTCAGAAAACAAAACATTTTAAAAGTTTTAAATTTTTTTTATTTTAGATCTTAAAAAAATCCAAAAATATTTTCTAAAAGCCAGTGCGACAAGTATCTGTACTTAGGACCTGTGTTGCAGAGACTGACAAAACCATTGAAATGTCTAGAGCTAGCTGTGTTGCTAAAATCTAAGCACCGGTAAACCCTCCAATCAAATGACGCCTAAACCTTTCAACTTTCCCGCCAAACGCACGACCGCCCTTCTACTCCTAGGCGCCGCCGCCGCCGCCGCCGCCGCACACTCCGATGTCCCCATTCCTCTCTTCACATTCTCTGCCAACACAATCGGAGCCGAAATCCACGGCCTCGTCCGTACCGCTCGCGCCGTCTCCACCGTATCGACTCTCTCCATTTTCAAATTGCATCTCTTGATTTTTCCTTTCTCAACTCTTCGCTTACACTGTTCGATTTCACTTCTCTCTTCGTTTTCCGATCTTCATTCTTTCAGGTCGCTTCCACTGTTGTGGACTACGAAATATCGCTGCGCGGCCTTCAAAAGGACTCCGATCATTATCGTCAAGTGATTTCCCAGGTTTCCGCCATCTCTACAATCGTTCTCGTTATTTACATCGGCGCCGAGAATTGCCAACGAATTAACATCGCTGTCGGTCAGAATAGCTTCAATTTCATTTTGAGATGTTGAATTCGTCGTTTTGGTGCTTAGGTTCATCTACGCTCTGCCAAGAGGTTTCTCAAGTTATGCGAAGCCAACAAAGGGTTTTATGTGAAGGCTGGACAGTTCGTTGCTGCGCAGAAAGTGCTTCCGAGAGAGTACACTTCAACTTTGTCTTCATTACAGGACCAGGTATGATATAAGGTCTATATATATCTAATTTAGTTCAAATTTTGGTTGATTTTGATTGGTTATGTTGATAATTGGAATATATTGATGACATAGGTTGCTCCTCTTCCATTTAAAGTTATTAAGGAAGTTTTAAAGGATAATCTCGGACCTGATTTCTCTGAGATGTAAGTTGCTCTAACCAACCAATCCAATTTTGATATCTTTGGAAAATTAAATCTCCTCGAAAAGCTTAAGCTGGTAGGTGGAGTTGCACAGATGGTTTTATCTTTCTTTTAAGCCCGAGCCATTTGGACATCAAGTGAGAAAATGCATAAGCTAGTGTTGTAGCTTGAGTTGAACCTGCCTTTGAGAGTGCTGATATGCCACTGCCACCCCTTAAATTCCGATGTTCTCTTATTCTGTTTCAAGATTACCATTTGTATTTATGTGAATTGCAGGTTTTTGTCAATTGATGAACAACCTATAGCTGCTGCGTCTATTGCTCAAGTTCACCATGGAGTGCTGAAAAGTGGTCATGAAGTAGCAATCAAGGTTTGTCTGCGGGTGCTAGTAGTTTCTTGAATTCCTGATAGCTGTCACCATGTACAATGCCTTTTCTGAAAATGACTTCCAAGTTTTCGAAGCTGTTGAAATTAAATTTTTACATCCCATATCAATCAGTGTGAACTTAGTGTGAGGTTTGACATAGGTACAGGATTTAGACTTGTATAATTCATTAGACTTTGCACTGACGGTATTTGGTAACGTGAAAAGGTAAAATATGTTATGAATTTTAGATAATGGAATTTTATTTATGCTTCTAAATGATTGTAATAAATAGCCTAGTCATGTGGTAAGCTTCCTTACCTTTCTAAACATTTTCAATTGATATTTATATCTGTTTGTTTATATTATCATAGGCATGTTATTCTTTTGTGGTGGTGATGGGGTCTGTGTGGTTGGGGAGGGGGGGGGATGTTGGTTTTTTAACTTTTTGATGAAAAAGGTCTTTTAATTGTTCTTATCTTTTCTATAATCTGTTTAGCCTATTGGTTTTTTGGGTTCAAATCAACTAGTTTTCAGGCCCCTGGTTGCATGGAAAAAGGATATGAACTGGAGTAGTGGTTTTGGAAGTCAAGAAAACTTAAATGTGTGCACAACAGGAATGTAATTCAGTAATTTTTAAATGATTCTTTTTGGGGTTTCAAGAGGATTTAAAATTCCATTTTTAATTTACAAATTAAAAGGACAGGATCATGGTTGGTTTCATGGGCAATCAGAAACTGACTCCAATGATTTTGATATTTCACTTTATTAACTAAGAATCACCATTTACCTGTTAATTTTTTTTCCTTGTAATCACTAAAATGATTCTACTGTAAGCTGTATCTCATTTGAACTGAACGTCTAGTGCTTAATCTAATAAATATCCCATTAGGTTGAAAATATTAGTATCATTAAAATATTTCCTTGGCCAGCTCTTATCTATTGATTTAATTATATTATATGGTATGTTGATTCTAGATTTCAACTTGAATGGCATGTTATACCCAGGCACATTATCAAAATAAGATTTAAGTATTTGAGTCCAAAACTGGCTACAAGGATAACTATAAATGATTTACAGGCCGGAGGGTTGCAGGTAGTGACTTTTCATGGATTACATTTGATTATTTGAGTAAATGGGATTAATTCTTTCAGATTATAATGCTAATCATAAGATATTGTTATTTTGCTCATATTATGTGGTAGTATAATGTTAGAGACCAGAAAATGCTCAAAATTTTTTACTTCTGTCATTAATTAGAAAGTAAACACTTTTGTCATTTGCTTCTATGTGATCCTTCTTGCTGGTACATAATTTGAATGAAGGTATGCTACATATGGAAAAACACTACCTGAATTGTGAAGTCGTGTTCTTCACTGGAAATAGGTGCAATATCCTTGGATAGAGCAGCAGATGAATTTTGATAGAAGAACAATGCATTTCCTATCAAAAACTATTGCATTGGTATGCTCTGACTCTTGACAACTCTTATTCATCGAAAGATATTAAAGAAATTGTTCTGTAATTAATTGTTATTGTTAGATATTTTTAAAAATCTGAAATGATTCCTGTTCCTCCTATTTTGTCCTTTCTTATTTTTGAAAGATTCATGTTCCTCCTATTCTCAGTTATATCTGAAAGATCCTAGTTAGTATTGGAGTGTGGTGTCTGGCTAGACCACAATTGTAGAATTTTTATACTTTCTAGCAAAGTTACTGGATTGCTTTTTTGAGCTGATGTATATTCTCTTCCTGTATCTTCCTTTCCAATTTTAGGAAAATTTCTGTTCTTCATATTTTCTGTTCTTTTCTTTCTTAATTTCTTTTTTTAAAAAAAAGAATAAAAAAGAGAAAAAACATAGTGAGCAATGTTCAATTTTCTCGAAATCAAATGTATTCATAAAATTAATGTCTAGTTGCTGGTTGAAGTTGAACTATGTTCTGTCCATATTCTGATAGGAACAAAATGATATAAAAGAAGATAGTCTTATAGATGAACCAAAGATGGTGAGCCTGAGCTCTTAAAAAGAAAATCTGGAGCCAAGGCTCCTTAGATAATTAGCATTCTCTATCCAACAACAACCAGAAAAACAATCCCTATCTCTCTTCTTTCTCCCCCTCCTCCCATGACCATCCTGTATGGCATAAAATATTGTCCAGCTCAGCAGCATGTGACTAAGTCTCATCCCCAATACACTTATTTTTCTTATATGGATACACTTTTCATAATTTGCGCTTCCCATGAAAAGAGACTACTGATGACAACCATAAACCGTGTCGCTGAATTAAACGATCTTGAATTGAATTTCACACAATAAAAACGAAATTATTACGACACAAATAAGAATTGAAATAAGAAGAAAATTAATAAAAAGTAAAAATAGAATAGAGATAGAAAATGGCGCCACAATCGCAAGATTGATAAGCCAAGGAACGATCGGCACAAGAGTTTTGGTCTCTTGATAAAATCAAAGAAAATTGGCTCACTCAAGAATCTAGAGTCACACACTCTCACAAGAGTGTTCAATCTCAAATTATATTCGAAAAACTAAAAGTGTGTTTACAAGAGCTTATATATGCCTAATGCTTGTAAACTAATACTAACGCAAACCTTAATGGGCTTCTTGTACTAACAAGCCTAAATTCAAATAGACTAAATAAAATAACAAGATTTTATCCTAAATAAAAACTCAAAATAAGTAATGACTAATATTAAAATAAATAAACTAAACATAATAATTAAATCCTAATAAAACTCGTTAGAATTCAAATCCTCTAAGCATATGTAATTGATTATCTTGAACTTTTCTAACTCTAAATTGAGCTCCCTTTCAAATAAGACAACAACAATATTTTCTAAGCCTTCATTTATTCTTTTTGCCCTTACCCTTGTCATTGGTCCTTGAAGCTCTTCCAATGTCTTCAAGTCTTTGTCTTCAATGGACCTTCCTTGATTCTCATCAAATGATAACATACACCCAGTCCACCGGTTAGTATGATATTGTCCGCTTTGGGAGTTAACCCCTCACGGTTTTGTTTCTCCTAGATATGACACACTAGGAAAAGGCCTTATGCTAGAAGGAAGGACGCCACAACTATTAAAGACTGATAAGTCACTCCCTCCAACCGATGTGGGACTCATCATCCCCTCCCTTTTCGAGAGAGTCCGCCACGGATACGCTGATAAGGTCCATCGGCTCCGGCCCAGGCTCTAATACCAAATGATAACATACACCCAGTCTACCGGTTAGCATGATATTGTCCGCTTTGGAGGTTAACCCCTCACAGTTTTGTTTTTCCCAGATATGACACACTAGGAAAAGGCCTCATGCTAGAAGGAAGGACGCCACAACTATTTAAAGATCGTTTAATTCGGCGACACGGTTTGTGGTTGTTATCAATTGGTATCAGAGCCTGGACCGGAGCCGATGGACCTTATCGGCGTATCCGTGGCGGTTTGAGTGCCTTATCAGTTCGTCCGTGGCGGACTCTCTTGAAGAGGGAGGGGATGATGAGTCCCACATCGGTTGGGGGGAGTGACTTATCAGTCTTTAAATAGCTGTGACGTCCTTCCTTCTAGCATGAGACCTTTTCCTAGTGTGTCATATCTGGGAGAAACAAAACTGTGAGGGGTTAACCCCCAAAACGGACAATATCATGCTAACCGGTGGACTGGGTGTATGTTATCAACTACTAGCTGATCCATGTCTTGTACTACTTAATGATCCACGTTACTCATTTGGTACTCTATCACTTTCCACCCCTGGAAAACAGTCTTGGGGATGTCAGGAAGTTGGCTACACAAGTGCAATTCATCCTCCCAAGTGGCATTCTCTTCAGCCATCACTCTCCATTGTACCAAAAACTGTCTAACTTTACTGCCTGCTCTCACAATTTCTCTAGTGGCCAAGACTCTCTGGGATAATTGTTTCATCGCCTTCACTATTAATTCAATAGGTGATTTTGCTTTTGTTGTATAATTGCCAATAGCTTTTTAAAGTTGTGACACATGAAAAACTGTTGTATTCTTTCTTCTTTATTGTTAGATTTCAATACAAGTAGTTTAATTTTATAACTTAGTTAAGATTATTACCTTTGGTTGCAGTTGTACCCTCAATACAGGTTTGAATGGCTACCGTTGGCATTTGCCCAATCCGTCTCTTCAGAACTTGGTCAGTAATTAGTTACTCCATCCAAAATGCATTCTCTCACTGTTTCTGTTTCATTTTACTATACGTCTCACATTAGGGCATATCAGCTATCAGCTGTGACCACTTTTGTCTAGCATTAGAATCCCCATAAATTGCACTATATGTTCCATGTTCCAGCTATTGGTTTTGTGTAATATTTAAACTAAAGATGCAAGCAAGGATAGGTAGTCTAGAAATTAATTGATCCAACTAAACACATTCAACCTTTCTTAAAAAATAAAATAAAATAATTGTAGTGTTTATAAGTTAGTCTTCTGAGTCATTATAATTGAGGTTACTGAATGCATGAGATGTATACCCTGACTACTTCCTTGCAGATTTTGTTCAGGAGGCAAGGAATTCTGAGAGAGCAGCCAGAAATTTCAGAAACAACCAAATGGTCAGAATTCCTCATGTGTTCTGGGTATGATAATTGAGATAATTTTGATTCTTCCTATGAACGATTTATTTAGGGAGTGTGTGGAAGAGCTTATGCAATGACTTATGAATCTTAAGAATTCTTTAACTTATTTTAATAAAATACTTGCTTAAGCTCTTTTTAACTCTAATAATAAATTCCATGATCGAATTCATGTCATAAGTTCTCTCATGTACACAACATTAGTATATTTGTGCTACCTACATACTTATCATCAGATTATGCATGCAGGAGTTGACAACAAGGCTAGTCCTAACCATGCAGTTTTATAAAGGACGCAAGGTGATTTATCGATCATGTCAGTAGATGATTATTCTGGAAAAAAAAATGTCATTGCGTTAGTTTTAAGATAGGACTTTTATGATATCTTCAGTTGCTCTAATATGTATAAATGTCTTGTGAAAAGTCGTTAAGCATGATTCACCAATGGTTAATTTGTCTCTGTTATGTTCTTGTCAATTTTAGCCTGCTTGGATATGGCCAGAATTACATGTCATTATTTTAATAACTTGTTGCAGATTGAAACAATGCGTTTTGGTAGTTTTTCTGGTTTTCAAAGTAAATTCTGTAGTGATTTATCCATATTTACATGGTATAAGTTTTTGGCTCCAAATTCCATTTTGTGTGGTATCAATTATCAAACAAGATCAAATATAACTATATGCTTCAAAAGTGATTTACTTTACCATCCAAGCAAATTTTTCTAAACTATTAAAACAGTCTCAAATATGAATAAAATTTTAACCTCAATTCTGCCAGAATCAATTCTACCAAAATCTAAAACAAGCAGAGCTTTAATCTATCACACATGCTTTCCACTATCTTCATTTGGCCAAAAACGCTAGAAAAATATCAAGATCCTTATATTAACGAATCTTCTATTCATCTTAAATGAAACAAAACATGCTAACTGAGCTCAGTCAAACTTTTGTTTCATATTCTGAGCAGCATATTCAGGATGACCCTTGGCACAATAGTAAGGTTACTGCCTTGTCACCTGGAAACAACCTTTTTGCTTGTGGGGACAAGACTGTATACATACTCCATAGACTCCCCCAGGTGGGAGCTTTGTGTACTGAGTCCTCCTTTATATATATATATATATATATATATATACAGCACCTTATTGCTTATAAGAGTCATTCAGTGATGGAACAAGTTGAATGGGCTTAACCTTATAATGCAAACTTTGGCTGTTTTTTTTTTTGTTTTTTAATGTAGGACTCTGGGTGTTACACTGTCTCCTACTTGAATGTTGACATTTATTTCCTCATTAAGCTCACTTGGTTTTCAAAGGCAAATCCAGATATTGCACCAATATCTTCAATACTATTGCCACTTTGTCTGTCTTCCTTGAATGACTACGCTTTTGAGGATGTATGCGATGCCTACTGCCTACACAACATGAGAGGGTTGCATTATATTCCATTAGTATTTCTTAACTATCTAATTTGTGATTTTCCAAAATACATACTATTTACTTTTACTAAAGTCACTTATCCCTCATGTGGGAGGAGAGAAATGCAACATTTCCATTGTATAAGGAAGAAAGGGCATTGTGATATGAAAGAGAATTTTACCTTGACATTAAAATGACAGAAGGGAAAGAAAATTAGAAATTTGAATACTGAATTTTTTATTTATTATATGAAATGTAAACTTGACTGCTTATTGAAATTGATGTGCTTATCTTCTGAAATATCTGCTTTCTTACTTCTGATTGCTGTAGAGATTTTTTAGTCTTTTGAACTGAAACAAAACTGTAATATTCAGATTAAACAAACTTGTGATATTTTGTAGGTATAAAAATAAGATAAAAACCATTAATTTGTACAATTATTAATTAACAAAGTCAGCTTGACTTGTTCACTTTTATAACGTGCTCCAGTTTGCTTGTAGCAATGTTGCTATTCAAACTGTGCTAGTCTTTCAATTTCTATATATCACATTCTATTAATAGGAGGCTTGCTGAATTTCAGATTGATGACTTGGACTTTCTGAATCAGATTGGGGTTGATCCAGAAAAGGTTGACTTGTCACAGCTATGGTGACCTCATGTAAATTGCAGTTTTTTGTTTTTTATGGGGTTTATTGTGGTGCAACATTGGTAATTAGCTGATGATTGCTGTACCCAATCAGATGGATATCCCTTTTTAAAATCTCATTCAATTTTTCCTACTCTTGTGCTGCAGTGCTAACTTGCTTAACTGATTCATTCTAAACCTGTTGCTGAAGGTGGGAAAATCACTGATTGAGCTGTTTGCTGAAATGATATTTTTACATGGTTACATACATGGTGATCCACACCCTGGTAATATACTAGTTTCTCCTGAAGGTTGTAATGGCTTCTCTTTGGGTACGTGCTGATCTATTGGAGCTTATTTTTTTTCACTAATTGGATTCTAATTGAAACTTTAAAAACTGAAGAATTTAACTTTGTCCTTTTACCCCCTTTTGGAATCATTCTGCAGTTCTTCTAGATCATGCAGTCTACTGGGAATTAGACGAAGAATTTCGAAAAGATTTCTGTCAGTTATGGGAAGCTTTGATTCTCAAGGATTCAAAGAAAATAATGTGGCTTGGTGAGCGATTTGGTGCTGGGAAGTATTCTAAATACTTACCCATCATTTTCACCGGAACAACAATCGAAAGGTTCCTGCTTAAGTTTCTGTTATTGATGTGTATAAATGCTTTTAATTTGCTTTTAGAAGAAAAATCTTCCTGTTAATGAGCTTGTTTCATTTCTGCTGTCTTTGGTTTTTGTGTTGTCTTTTTTGGATGGCTATGTAATCTTTGCTACTAATAATTTGTTTCTTGCAAAAAAAAATATGACGGAGCTTTTTCATTTAAGTTGCAGCAAACATGCTGTTGGAATATCAGTCAAGGAAAAAGAGACCATGAAACATGAATTGAAATCTCTGTTGTTTGAGGACTTATCTTCATTCATGGAGTCTCTGCCCACAGATTTTGTTGCTATAATGCATGTAGAGTAAGAAAAAGAGTTCAAGCTTGCTTTATTGGGCTGAAAATTTGTGTTACTTGATGTGCTTATCATATCTTATTTTTTCATTCTAGTGCGCTGTTAAGGTCCATCGTTAGAAACATGGATGTCCCACGGATCATGAGGTTGCTAACTTACACCAAATACGCAGTGTATGCTCGTATCTGTCCAAAGTTGGATGGTGAGGGTGAATCTTGTAAAATGCTCATAACAAATTTCTGTAAGTTCTCTTCTCATTTCTTAATTAGTGTGCTTAGGATATTTATTAAACAAATATAGAAAGTATTCATTTAAAATAAAAATATTTGTTATATTAAAAACACATCATTTCAAATTTATTTTTTCAAGTAATTGACAACACTAATAGAGTTCATTGATTATTCTTTAACTAGGATCATCAACGCATTTTTTAGCAAGACCTATATATCAATCCTGTTATCTCTATACACCTGAACCCATACACTTACCTCTTACACCTGTTATTCTTGAAGAAAAAAGTTAGACCTTATATTTTTGTTTCTCTTTCTTACTGAAAAAATGGGAGGTTTAGAAGAGGGAAAAATACTCGTGTACCTAATTTTTGATGCACTAGTTGGGAGTACGAGATTTATGCAGGTATTTCTCGTAAAGTCAAGATATTTGGTGTAAATGAGACACTTTCCTTGTAGGATATAGAAATGAAAGCAAGAGCTTGCAGAATGAGTTTTCCCTCTAATTCTTACCTTTTATGCTTCCAGATTTTGCTGTGAAAGCTGGTTTTTTCGGATTCATATCAACGTTAAAATATCTTCACATCCTAATACATGTCCTTAAAGGTGAGAATGCTTTTACCTATAATTTGATATAAATATCACCTCAAGTTTGAACTAACTATTTGTCCTATTTATTAGGGGTCATTGGCACTACCCCTTGGCGGCAGAAATTGAAGAATGTACAGAATTACTTGTATAGTAAGATCAGTTGCGACTCCTGGGACCTTCTGGTGCATGCCCTTTTTCTTATTTTATGTGTGCGTCCGAATGCATTATTTTGAACATTGAATTCATGTCTAGAGCTAAGGCTCGTTGGACGGTTTAGCATCCATCCTCCTACATGAGTTGAGGAGATCCATAGTCTGCAAATTCCCCAAAAAGTAAGGTTAAAGAGAAAGATATCATTTTTATCAAATTTAGTTAGTGGATCCTACAATTAATCATGACGGGCCTTTGATTAAAAATTGTCTTTCTCTAAGTAACATGATCATCAGGGGTGTTTATGACCCATAATGTCTCACTCACTTCGGCTTGGCTCGAGGTTAATTTTGACGAAGTTCAGAATTTTGAAATTAGAACTATAATATTTTATGATATATTTAGACTATATTTTGGATTGTTCTAACATAGCCCAATCTCCTCTATTTTTTAAAATTTATACTTTTTTAAACAATTACGTAATTAGTATTAAGAAATTCCAACACAATTGTTTTACTAAAAAAAAAGTAACAGGATAAGAATATCATTGGCGTTTGTTTTTTCAGCCAAAACGGGGACTCATGCATCAATAAATAGACTACTAGCCTACCAGTCGACTACTTTTCCTTCGTTAATATTCCTTTCATCCCTCTGGAAGGAAGAATGCTGTTGCCTATGCTCCATGTCGTGTTTTTTTTTTTTTTGGACTGTTAAATCTGAAAAGCATTTTTAATTTTTTTTATTGATAGTAATTTTATAATTATTAAATACAATAGAAAAATATTTCTTAAAAATCAAATGAATAATATATGCCAAATCCTCCACTGACGTAGTGCTGGAACAAAGATGAAATAAAGAAATCTATAAGAAGTTTCCTTTATTCACATGGTTTTATTGAAAAGCATTTTGAATAATTCTGTCTTCCTTTCAATTTGAAAATTAAACTTCACAGCTCTCAACATTTGCATACAGAAGAAAATTGATATCTGCAGTCCACAGAAATCATGTTATTGATTTTCTTTTTCTACGTACTTAGGCTTAATTGTAGTGTGCTTTGATATCGAAATATTATTACCACTTGTTTTTAAACTTTTACCTAAAACCACCCAGTATTCTTTTTTAATTAGTAGCAAGCTTGGGGCACTAAGCAATATGCAAGTATTGATGCCCAAAATTGTGCCCAAAATTGACAATGTTACGATTTTGTGTTTTCCATGACTTTGATATCATTGTCATAATATAAGAAAGGACAAAAAGAGTCCAAAGAGCATCAAAATTACACCGATGGCCAAAGGAACATATTTATGAGGAGGAAGTAGGAAAATGAGTTGATATTGCCTTTCTTTGTTTTCTTTTTCTTTTTTACTTGAGCAATAGTTGATTTTTGCCATGGAAAAAGAATTTATACCTTAATTGCACTCCTTTGGAAAGAATAAATGCACGCTGTGGATGTAGATACTATAAAAAAGAACATTTGTTTAGATAATTCAAGTGAAATAAATTATCTTAAAATTACCTTTTACTTAACATATCCAATTATAATTAATTATTAAATTTTATTTTTATAACTAGTTAGTAATATCATGTAATTATAAATATAATTGTAAACCATATATGCCTAATGTTCTATCTAACGGTCTTCACTTGCTACTTTATGTTATTTTATTTTTTTAAAGCAGACTTGCTAGTTCCAACAACTAGCAAGTTATTTTAATCGCACAAATATGATTAAATTTAAAGTTTTTAAATAATTAAAAATATATTTTATAATTATTTTAAAATTAAATAATTTTTAAAAATTATTTTAAAATTAAATAATTTTTAAAAATTATTTTAATTATTAATAATAAATATTTTATTCTATTAAAAAGATAAATTTTTTAAAATTTAAAAGTAGTTATAAAAAATTTAAATATAAAATCAAAATTGAATTTAAAAAATTAAATACTCAATGCATGAATGTCGTCACTTAATATAATAAGGAGAACTACCATTTAAAAATGTTTTCATTTTAAATAACTTTTAATTTATAAATTATATATAAAAATAGATTATTATTATTATTATTATTTGTAATGTAATGAAATAAAAAACAGATAAATAAAGTAAAATAATAATATTTTATATTATTATTTTACTTTATCTATCTATTATTTTTTTAAAGCGCATAGTGCCATACGATGGGTTAGTGAACAATAATAAACCACAACAGTCGTATTAAATTAAAAAAAAAAAAAGCCCTTCGTATATATACATAGCGACATCTTTTAAAACTTTACACAGTATGTAACATCTCTTAATTTAGCGACTCATTTTAATTCAGTAGTTTATATTTTTCCCTTATACCTATTTTATATGCAACAAAGTTAACCTCTTTAACTAAAGTCTTGTTTAATTTGTTTGAACATATCATGCCAATGAATGGCAATTTCATAAACTTAACCCACGTCTGGTTTTATTTCAAACACTATTAAATAACTAATCTGATAAAACACTTAAATTGAGTTGTGTAAACAATTAAATTACATTTTCAAATCAAAATGTAACATCAAATGTTTTTAATATTAAATAATATTTAATAAAAATATATGTCTTAATTAAGAAAGTTTGATATCATTATTTAATTTGAGACTTAAGACCCACCTTAAAGAAAAAGGAAAAAACCGGTTCTAGAATCTGGATCTTTCAGTATATAAATGTAAACAGGAGTGATTTTTCCAAAAGAGAGAACGCGTAATATTGGAGTGGGGTTACTTTGAAAGAAACTTTATTAGTCTCACACCACAAACAATTAAATTGATATATATTTTCTTTTCTTACAACACATAACACATGGCTGGTTCCATACATCGCCACTCTATTTAAGACCCAAACTCCTCTCCTCTCCCCAAACACATCAATAACTAATCACTTCTTCACACACACACACACACACTCAACAAATCTCCAATGGTTCTCTCCAAAACCGCTTCCGAGACAGATGTCTCTGTCCATTCAACCTTCGCTTCTCGCTATGTCCGCACCTCCCTTCCCAGGTTCGTACGACTCTCTCTCTCTGTACATATAAATGTTCAATTAATCAATCCACCATTACCACCGATCATTATAATATGGATCTCTCTTTTTGATGCATACATTGACACATGAATATGATGCATGCATTTATGATTGATTTGTCTTCAACTGTTAAGATGGATTTGATGATGTATATGATTAACACGAATGAGATTGATAAATAAAGGTTCAAAATCCCGGAGCAATCGATCCCGAAGGAAGCAGCGTATCAGATCATAAACGACGAGTTAATGCTGGATGGGAATCCCAGGCTGAACCTGGCGTCGTTCGTCACGACGTGGATGGAACCTGAATGTGACAAACTCATAATGGCTGCCATTAACAAGAACTACGTAGACATGGACGAGTACCCTGTCACCACTGAGCTCCAGGTAATTAAATTCCATATCCCACACTAATTATATATCATCATCATTATTATTATTCAGAAATTAAAAGAGATTAAATTAAATATTCACATATTTATTTTATTATTTTATGAATTTGTCCCATGCGATTAGGTAAATGTCTCTTTAATTGATCTACGCGCTCTTAACTCTCAATTTATGAGTTGAATTTTGGAGAGACCAGAGTTTCGTAGGAGCAGTTGATAAAATCCCACTTGTTCGTTAACTGTTGGTGCTATAACCCACTCTTTTGACATTAATTCCTTTGACTAATTTAATGTAAAATTATTCTTTTGAATTGTTCCTCCCAACGCAACTGTGGAAAAATTATTTCTATTTTATATATAATGTCCGGATAGAACCTTTTGTTAAAAGAAAATGTTAACTTATAAAAATAAGTAATTAATAATAATAAAATTTGATTAAAAATTATTTATTTTATTTTTATAACTTTAACATAATAAATATATATTTTTAAAATGTTATTTTATTTATAGATGTTTAAATCCAACTCTAAGAGTTGAAATTTAACAATTTTTTTTTTGTTAGAAAAATAAAACCACATACTTTTTAAGATGATGTTATTATAGGTTTTATAATCAATTTAGATTATACGCATTGTTTGAAAATCAATAATATCTGCATATTTATTATTTTATTTATGAAAATAATTTTTAGTATAAATAAAAACAAGATATATATATATATATATCAAATCGTATTCTAGTTTAAATGTTCTGAATCTTTTAAAGTTTATACAATATATTGAAAATTTAAATGTTTCTAAGAAATTTTTTTGATTAACTTGTAAAGGTTGGTAACAATCGAAATTCTACTAGTTAATAAATGTTACATAGTGTATTGCCTAGAACAAAAATAATAAAAATGATGACTCAATAATAATTTCACAAAATGACAAAGGCTCATCTAGGCATGCCTCTTCTTTCCCAAAAGAAAAATCATAGCTCTACGATGAACCGTGATCAGCGCTGTGTTTGTGGAAAGCATATTGTTGTTTTTTCATCTATCTGAGGTCAAGCGATGATATTTTACTAAAAGAAAATCTAAAATCATCGATCAAAATTTTCCGGCATTGCCTCCCAAAGAAAAACAATTACTCTCAAGTCACAACGTCATTTTTCTTTGTTGTATGTAAAATTTCTCAATCAACGCTGCATCTTTTTCCTTTTTTCAAAGTGGCCAAATCCCTGTCACCGGACTTTTCCATCAGACTCACTTCAATTTGTTTTTATTGCGCTAAGGAGAAACTTTCACGCATCTTAATTAATTTTAAGATTTTTTATTATAAAAGAAGATTAATTACTCTTCCAATAAAATAAAATAGAAAAACCCATTTTTAAAAGAGTCAAGTTTTGATGGGTGATGATGACTGACGAGTATTCGTTTTATAAAATGCAACGTATCATTGATTGATTGTGCCTATTTGATGTTATATCCTTAAAATTTAAAAGATTTCTCTAATCTCTAACTACATTGCATATTTTAGCATACTAATGCGTAGTATTTTTAAGTCACTAAGCTTGAATTAGTGGTGATAGATTTTGATATTTTACGTGAAGTTATAAGTTTAAACTTGGTTATAACAGATTTATTATACAAAAGAGTAGTCTAAAAATACTGTAAAAGACTCAGTCTTGAGGTTCTGTAATTTACATCTTAAAATAATTAATTATATATTATTTTCATGGTTAAAATCGAGAGCATCAATTAGGAGAAGAGAACAATAACCAAATCCGAACCATATTTCCAAACTCATCCTTGTATGCTATGGAAAACCGTAGCCTCCTAAACGTGAAAAGTACCCCTTTTTTGTGGAATAGATCCAAGTACCTTTTTTTTTTCATTTTTTTAACGTGAAAAGTTACTGTTCACTATTTTTAAGATTTCCTTTTATACCTTTTTATTTATCAGCCGTGGGCTTTTCTTTTCTTTCTTTCTTTCTTTTTCGGCTGATATTTGTTTTTCTTTTTGTTGTGCACAAATTTCATAATTGTGGGACCTTTGAATTGGGGGCCCATGTGAAAAAAAGGCGAGCCCCTTAATTATCGGCTCGCAATCACTAAGTTATTTGGTCCAATGAAAGTCATTGGGCCGTTTTTCTGCTTTGACAGTTGGCACAGACATGATAATAGCTACTGCCCAGTGGCAAACAAAATATCGACCGCAGGGAAAACAAGTTTTAGAAATTTGGTAGAACTCGACTTGATTTAAGACCAATTGTTAAATAAAAAGAATAAAGTAGTATAAAATACTTACTTATTCAATAACTAATATATATCGAAGAGCATGTTAGCAAGCGTGTGGGGTCTAAGTAATGACTGTATTCACATGCATAATAAATCGCATTAGCTCGGGAACATATCAATATTAGGGTGATTAAGGATCATCCTAACTGAAATGAGTAGCGTTACTGATAAAGACAAGGTAAATTCCATAAAAAAATTTTAGATTACTGTACTTGAAAATTTTTATAATATTTAAATACGTGTTGAAATAATAAATTTATTTAATAATAAATTATTATATTTGTTATATTTAAATAAGTTGAAGAATATTTAAGTTAAAATTAAATAAATTAAAATTTAAAAATACAATAATAATATTATATTTATATTTTTATATTCTTAATTTTATTATTATTAATAATTTAATTATTAAATTAATATATTATTTATAATTCTTTTTATTTGAAATTGAAAGTTTATAAAAAAAATAATAAAAATAAAATAAGAAATTTAATATACAGTATATATAATAAGATCATACAGTAAATAATATAATTTTAAATAAATTATATATAATAATATTTTTTTAACTTATCACATGTTTTTTTTTATTGGTATAAATTTTTTAATTACCACATTTGAAAATTAAAAACTCCTCATTCAACTCAACTTTCACTTCGATCCGAACTTCACCACTTTAACAAGCACATATATCTTAGGCAACGTTGACAATATCCTTGTTTTCTAACAATGGCATGATATAACCCAATGATATATGTTCTAATTATAGTGTGTATAAAACCAATGGCATTTCAAGCGAATTGATTTGAACACCTTGCATGCATGCAGAACCGGTGTGTTAACATGATAGCTCACCTTTTCAATGCACCACTTGAAGAGTCAGAACCTGCAGTTGGTGTTGGTACGGTAGGCTCATCAGAGGCCATTATGTTGGCTGGGTTGGCATTCAAAAGGAGATGGCAGAACAAAAGGAAACAAGAAGGAAAGCCTTATGACACTCCCAACATTGTCACTGGTGCCAATGTTCAGGTACACAAACCATTTTCCTTTGTTCTGCCACTGCACAAATGCCTAATAGCATCACTGAAACTATCGTGTAGTTGAAAATAGTTTTTAGAAATTCTATCAGTAATAATGATTTTGTTAATACTAATTTTTTACTTGTGTCTAATAACATATAATAAGAAATCAACAAATAAAAAATTTTCATTAAAATTGTAGTATTTAATGTTATTAATATATTAGATTCTGTGATATTTTATGATCTTCAATAAAACACAGATTCTTATTGTATACCTTTAGACATATGTTAAAAAGATAATTGTTAATATAACTTTTGAAAATAGATTTTAAACAACTCTTAAGAAAAATTGTTTTTACACTTTTATATTTTTTATATAATAAATGTTTCTAAGAAAAATTTATGTTTTTAATAACTTAAAATAACCGATAATAAGGGCTGATGTCCACAAAAAAGTAATATTAGTAGTAAGTGATTGATCGAATTTAATTAGTTCTGCTTATGTGAAGGTTTGCTGGGAGAAATTCGCAAGGTATTTTGAGGTGGAGTTGAAAGAGGTGAAGCTGCGTGATGGATACTATGTGATGGACCCTGAGAAGGCCGTGGAAATGGTGGATGAGAACACCATTTGTGTTGCTGCTATCCTTGGTTCCACACTTAACGGAGAGTTCGAAGATGTCAAGGTCTTAAATGATCTCTTAGTTGAAAAGAATAAGCAAACTGGGTATATTTCTCTATCCCTCTGAGTATGTTGCACAGCATGGTTGAGGCTTGAGTGCCTCTTATTTTGTAAACTAAATCAAAGATGTTGGAAGTTTACTTTAGACTTTGAATTGACATGTGAATTAAATTAATCTTTTGTTAGATGGGACACTCCAATTCATGTGGATGCAGCCAGTGGTGGATTCATTGCACCATTTCTTTATCCAGAGCTTGAGTGGGACTTCCGGTTACCACTAGTGAAGAGCATCAATGTTAGTGGACACAAATATGGTCTAGTCTATGCTGGCATTGGTTGGGTCATCTGGAGAAGCAAGGAAGATCTTCCTGAGGAACTTATCTTCCACATTAACTATCTTGGAGCTGATCAACCCACCTTCACCCTCAACTTCTCCAAAGGTCATACAATTGACTACTAACTACAAACTAGAATACACCTTAATTATTTTAACTTAATTTGTACCACTTATTCATATTGATTATACTGATTTCTTTCATAAAATATGCAATAGTGCAGGTTCCAGCCAAGTCATTGCTCAGTACTACCAATTAATTCGTCTGGGTCATGAGGTACCAAGACTTCAATATTTGTGTATATGCATAAAACTTTTACCGACACACTCTTTTATTATTAAGAAAATGTTAATTAGCATCCGATAGTACTAATTAAAGAATAAATAAATTATGAACATACTTTTATCATAATTTTAATATATTTTTAGCATAATACTGAATAAATATTTGTTTTTAATTTATATTTCATATTATTAACACTCTCATTCTGGTAAATTTAACTAACAAGATTATGTTAGTAAGTGTGATGATAATATTTCTCATATAAAGATTTAAATATGTTTGATTTTTATGTTTCAGTTATTTTTGTAATTTATTCTACTATTTTGATTTTGGTCTATATATATATATATATATATAAGGATTTTCTTATATCAGTGTAAGTTTAAAAATTGATCGGTATAAGAGTTTTTAGATTTACAATAATATAAAAAAATCTTACCCATATATATATATTTGCATAGTATTTATTGTCGATGTAGTCCACTGAAGACTGTTATGTGTCAAACTTTTTGGTTAGTTCATAAGAAAGATTAAAAACAAAAGCTTACAAAAATATAACTAAAAAAATCATTTAGATGAGTTAAAACAAAAATCACTAAAATATAAAGATAAAAAATATATTTAAACTTAGAATAAATTAAATGTTATTTTACACCTTTCAATCATAACATTAAAAAAATAAAACTTTGTTTTTAATTATTTCGTAATATGGTCCTACTAAAACATTTTGAAATTGGGTATGCAGGGATATAAAATGGTGATGGAAAACTGCAGAGACAACATGGTAGTACTTAAGGAGGGACTCGAGAACACGGGTCGCTTTGAGATTGTATCCAAAGACGTTGGAGTCCCATTGGTGGCCTTCACTTTGAAGGACCATAACCACTTTGATGAATTCCAAATCTCTGATATGCTGAGACGCTATGGTTGGATAGTGCCAGCATACACAATGCCCCCAGATGCACAACATGTCACTGTTCTTCGTGTTGTCATTAGAGAGGACTTTTCTCGTACCCTTGCGGAGCGTTTAGTCAACGATGTCTCCAAAGTGTTGCATGAACTTGATTTGCTTCCTGCTAAGGTCATCAGTAACAGCACCATGACAGTTACTGGAGAAGGTGCTGATGATGTGGCCAAAGTGATTGTTGCTAAGAAGAGTGAAATAGAGACCCAAAGGGAAATCACTTCAGCTTGGAAGAAATTTGTCATGCAGAGGAAGAAAATGAATGGAGTGTGTTAGAGCCTTGTTTTTTTCTGATAATTTTGAGCTATATGTTATGCGGAGTAATTCTTACGTGACTACAGTTTATGTAGACACGAGTTTTATTATATACTTTATTACTGTTTTTATTAAAATATACATTGTAAGTTTTTTTTCAATTGGTTGTACCAGTAATCCTACATGTGCTCCTACAAGATGAGTTACTATGTAATGGAAAGGTAAGATTTTGATAGTCGAGAGAATCTACAACGTGCGTTTTCGGACGTATAAACGCTCGTGAAATTTTAACTATAATTTATTTTATTTTCTCAAGTGCTATATTCCAAAAATTTAATTGTTTAATTTTTCTCATCCTCAAATTGTTCTCCTATTTTTGGCGTATCTTGTTTTCACTGTTGTACCTATTTAACATGTTAGAATGATTGTGAAAGATAAAATATTAGTTTCAATTTATTTTTCTTGGACCATTAGAAAAACAAAATAAATGAGGGTATAAAACGGTAAATAATATTTATAAAATATTTAAAATTTACTTTTAACATACCTGTAAATATAAGAAAAATGTATCAATAAAAAATAAGAGAAAAAAAATACTTAACATAAAATGAAAGTAAAAAATAAAGATCAAATTGAAGAATGCTCTTGATTATTAGTATACTTTATGGTGCAGGATTTTAGGGAAATAAAGGGCACGTTGATGGCTTCAAACGTAGTGGGTTACGTACTTCTATTGGGTAAAGTATCAACTACAGTGACTGAACTGTCGTAGTGGTCAAGTAATTATGAGAACTTTGAAGAATGTGAAGATTTCCACTTGTACCAGATTCATAATTTCACAATCACAAAGATATACTGTAGCATTTCAATAAATAACTTGTCTTGTGACTACAACCACTTGTATTTTGCCTTTCAGGATCAAAATCACTCAAAAGGTTAATAGGAAAGGAAAATAAAATGTATGTGTTTGTGTATATGTGTATTATTACCTGGGTTAGTAATTAATGTTACAAAGGTTCACTGTGCAGTTGTGTTAGCATCGGTTAGCACTTCCTATTTTCTATTACTTTGTAGCAGTTGTAAAACTTAATAAACTAGATATGAGGATCAATCACATAAGGCCCAAGACTCCTGCATCTGTTTTCTTATCAGTAACCAACACAAGAACAAATAAATACAAGTTAACTAAAATACATTCATCATACTTTATTGCAAATTAGAGAATATAACACAATAATCTCACTATAACTCTGCTTTTTTAAAAAAAGAAAAAGACATACAAATATGAAGAATTTTATTTATTTATTTACTTTTAAAAAATGTAAAACTTAGTACATAAGCAGAAGGGAAGATACTTTGGTAGAGCTATCTAGAAGTTCTAGTTGTCTATCGCAATAAAAAGGACAAGGTACGAGGAAAAAACTGTCAGTAGCAGTTGCTACTACTATGAAATGTTATGATGACCGCCCTCCATACATCAATAAAAAAGTGAAACAACACCATTTATATCAAGGACCACAATCAATTGATATCTTAATCACAAAATTCTAAGAGAAGTAATGAGAATGTGGGAGAGACAAGAAACAATATCATTTTCCAACTTAATATATTTGTCATCAGGGAGTCAAGAATTACAACTAAAACGCAGGATAGACATACCCGTCAAGAAAAATATAAGAAATCATTACCAACAGTTTCAATGATAGAAATCCATATAAAAAGCTGAGGCATTATATATATGTATATAACATATATTTCTGTAAGTGGGAGGTACAAAACCTGCATTGCCATGAAGAGGGCGAAGGAGAAAGCTTTAAAGAAATTTAGATCTTTATTATACCATGGTAACTTAAAATGTCCAAAGAAAGCTTGTTTAGCATCAATGGCTTAATTCAAACTTGCCCTACATAATTGGGCACCAATTAGAACTAGAACAATGATCTATCTAAAATACCATACCCTTCCGTACATTGTCTTCAACATTTCACAGCAAAATCTTGCATTGCTTCGCATCATGAGATGACCCTCCAATTAATTTATGCCAAAATGTGTACAACACTGCCATGAGAGCACTAGAGGCTTACATAAACCCCAAAATTTCTTTCTCAAGGCCCTAAATGCATGTTATTGTCATTTACATACATGAACAAATGAATACATATCCCTCTCTATTTACACTATTTGAGTCAATAATTAAAAATGGCCTGATCTCAGCCAAAGATTTCTATCAGAGTATATCTCCAAGATTGAAGCTGTCCTCTGATGAGGATGTAGAGATGGTGATTATACCATCACAGTCAGATACACTATCTTGCAAGCTCAATAAGAGGTGAGAGTGTGAAGTACTAAAACCCGTAGTTGGCTTGGTTCTAGGGACAATAGGCACTTCAGCCTCACCTACAAGCATCTGAACCACACACCTCATAGTAGGTCTAGCCAATGGATCAGGGTGAGAGCAAGCTAGCCCAACCAAGAGCAACCTCCTCATCTCCTCCTCATCAAACACACCCTCAAGCCTTGGATCAGCAGCCATTAGCAATCTCCCTTCCCGGTGCAAACTCCAAACCCATTCCACCAAATTGCTGCTAATCCCAGCTTTACCACCCCCAGTGGCATCTTTCTCTATTGGTCTTCTACCACTAGCCACCTCAAGAACCACAGCACCATAACTGAATACATCAGTTTTCTCTGTAGCTTTACCCGTAAGGAGATACTCAGGTGCAAGGTACCCCATCGTTCCGGCAGCCACCGTGGCATCCGGCGACTTGTCATGCTCAGTTTGCCTTGCCAAACCAAAATCACCCAACCGGGCATTGAACCGTTCATCCAACATTATGTTACTAGTCTTAATGTCTCTATGTATCACCTGATTCTCACACTCTTGATGCAAGTAGGCCAATGCAGATGCCACACCTAACAAAATCTTGCGTCTGTGATCCCACGGAAGAGGCGTTCTAGCCTCAAACAAAGCCTTATCCAAACTCCCATTAGGCATCAAGTCATACACCAACAAAATTTCACCATTCTCATGACACCACCCTTGAAGCCGAACAAGATTCCTATGCCTCAGGCTCCCAATTATAGACAACTCAGACAAAAACTCATTCTTTCCCTGACTACTATGACTACACCTCTTCACCGCCACAATGTCCCCATTCTCAGGCAAAATTCCCTTATACACAGTCCCAAAAGCACCATGACCAATGATCCTATTTGCATTGAAACACTTGGTAGCACACTTCAACTCCTTGTAGCTAAACTGCTTCGGCATTTTGATGATTTCTGATCCAAGTGAATCAAATTTATTCACACGCTTAACCTTCTTAGAGTAAAACCAAATCAATACACCAGCAAAAAGAGCCAAAACAAAAGCCCCAGCAGTTACAACCCCAGCAACTGCTCCCAAATTTTGCTTACACAACCCATTATGACAAGACGATTTACTCTCTTTTTCTTCACCATTCGAAGTAGCAGAAGCAGAAGAAGGAGCCAAAGATGGAGGCACAGATTTCACCGAATTCGCCGTTGGGTTCATCAAGCTCACCGCAGGTGGCGGCGGCGCCGCCGGCGAAGAACCAGACTCAAAAGAAGAACTAAAACTCCACCACTCTATTCTATGAATCTCTGTGCTACCCTGCGTTGAACCAGAGAACCCCACATACATAAAATCATTCAGATACTGATCCACATCAACATTCATCGACAAAATTGGATCTTTCGGTTTCAGATTAGAATAAGAAACCCACACGTTCAACCCTTTGCTGGATCCATCGAACTCGATCCATGCGTTAACCAAATCACCACTCTTCAGATCGATCCCAAAGTTACCCAAATCCCCAACCTCACTCGAAACGACGCTGTTTAAGTCCACACCAACATGGTTCCCATTAATGTCCTTAAACTCCACGTCCATCAAAGTGTCGAACTCCACGGCGATGAATCCGCCGCCGTCGACGCCTCCGAGGCCGAGCAACCCCCCGCCGTCGCCGAGGGCGTCGTCGTCTGGCGAGAGGACGAAGGCGAGGCCTCCGCCGATGGAGGAAGGGTTGAGATTGGCGACGGAGAAGGAAAAGAAGGTGCTGAAGCTCGCCGGAAAGCGGTTTCCGGGTTGCCGGAATCTGACGGGGCGAGAGTAAAGAGCCCTGCCGGCGCCGGAAGTGGGAACGGCGAGGTCGCGCGTGAGGCTCACGGTGCCGTTGTTCAAGTGAGCGTCGCCGAGAAGCTTTAGGCTGCTCAAAGTTAAGGTTCCAAAGTCGAACTCAGTAACGGCGTTGAGAAAACAAAGGTTACAGAATAAGAAGGCGAAGAAGAAGATAAAGGTGAATGAAAATAGCGACATTGGCGAGGCAGAGAGTGAATTGGTTTGGTTCGGTTTGGCGTGAGAGTTTAGAGTTTCACGGGTAGAGAGAGAAAGAGAGATAATGAGTGTGTTTTGCAGAACAGAGAGAACTAAACGAACAAAGACAACAAACGATGGCAGAGAATCCGAAGGGGAAGTGAAGAAGACAGGTGCGTGGCCACGTCGACACCTGTCCTCTCTCTCACAACGGTTATTTCCTTTCTTTCTTCATTATTATTTATCCACTCTTTACACTTATATAAATAATCTTCTTTTTAATTTAAGGATATTTAATAAATAATAATTTTATTATTTAGTTTATTAATAAATGTAATATTTTATATTTTTAAATCAAAATTTTTCATGTATACACTTTTATTATACTCTTTAATCATATATTACAAAAATCGTGTAGATAAACATTTTTATTTGTTTCTGTGTTATTCATTTCTTTTAGAGCCATGTGCATTAAGTCTTTTTTTAAAAAGAAAAATTTATATGCGTCGAATTCAGTGTTTTTTTATTTGTGTTGTGTGTTTTTAGGAGACAATTTTAGGATGTTGCATCTATTTTAGGACGCTGATTACAAAATTTAAAATAAAAGTTATTTATTAAAGATTACATTAACATTTATTAAAAATAAAAAAAATACATTAATAATATTTTTAACCATTATTTTATTGGACCAATTCCTTAAGTTTGTGTATTGTATGCAATTTTAGATTCAGCTAATCAATTTTGTGAGAGAGGCGAGGTTAGGCTTTTTTATTTAAATATTGTAAAATAAAAAACTATTTCTTAAATTATATATTTTTTCAAATTATTTTTCTGTTTGGGGTAATTTGGTTAAGTTGGTGTTGTGTTTCGCGAAAGTGACTGGCGAAATAATTTTTTTTTATTTTTTTAAATTTATTTCACCACAAAAAGAGCGAAAATATAAGATCGTAACACGTGTATGCATCAGGATAGTTTCGCGTTTCTGATGGCAAAAATAGGAGCTACTTTCGTCACGTGCAGGGTAAAACTTGTTTTTCGTCATTGGACTGGCAAAACTAATGTTTCGTCAGTATATTAGCAAAACTTTAATTAACTTTCGCCATTTGCAGGGCAAAACTTGCATAGCTCTTCTTTATTTTTTGTCGTTATCCCTTCCTCTCTTTTAACGCTTGGCCACTCTATTATTGCTATTGTCGCCTTGGAGCCCGCCCTTGCTGCAACTTCTTTCATTCATATCTTTCTCAATCAATAAAAATGCGGGTTTGGCACACTTGAATCTGGACTTTGATTGGAGACCAACATCAGGTACTTGTTTTGCCTTAGTTTGGTATATTCTTATTTACTTCAGTTGAGCCGTTCATTGAGCAGTTGAACAACCAGCCCTGTTCAATATTTGCACCCTTCTCCAGCTACATACACACCACTTTCATACCGCAAAATTTTTGTCGACTAACCCATTTGAAACAAAATAGGTCAGTCATTTCATGTAAATTTATGAATGTAGTTATTGTGTATTTTATTTTAAATAAATAAATTGATTAATAAAGAAGTAATTATTTTGTTGATATTAATTTAAAAAAACTTCGATAATAATGAAATTTGTTTTGTAAAAATGCAGGATAAGTGGACATATTATAATGATATAATGGAATGGTAGAATCTATGAAGGGAATGAAGATGTGAGTTTTGAAGGAAGAAAGAAAATGATTCAGATAAAGTAAGGAATAAGTTTTGAAGCCTTGAAAAAAAAATTCATTTGAAGCATAATCTTGATCATAATGAAGTTATTTCTAGATTAATTCACGTTTTCTAATTGATAGAAATAATAGACAGTATATAGTTGTAGATATTTGTGATGATGAAGATATTAATTGTATGATAAGTGCATTTCAACAACAATCTGGTAGTAAAAGTATTATAGAGTTGTAGGTGGATATTGCTATTGGTGAGAGTTCATCAGTGCCGTCGCATGTGATGAATTTAAATTTATCACTTTCACAGCAAAATAATGAGACGATTTTGAGTAATGATTACTATGAAAGTAATATGAATTACTTTATAAAATAATTTATTAATATGTGTATTTGTTAGATAATAATTTATATATTTATTGCAATAAATAAAGGAATTAGGATTGAAGTTGATGAAGATAATGAAGACTCAGATTATGATAGTTACAATGATGAAAGTGATGAAGGAGAAATTTTACTAGACAGTTCTTCTTCTACTGATGTTAAAGGAGAGTTTGATTCTAACTTAAATATACAAGAAAAAAGATTATAAAAATATATTTTTCTTTGTACATACAAAAATTTAAATTAAAACAACCTAATTAAAAGCATAATATCATAACATATCAAATGTAATTTTATTCAAATTAAAAAAAAAACATATGACTAACATAATATCATAATTTATTTTTTATATTCACATACAAATTACTAACTTAATTATAATATATTTAATTAATCTTATTTAATTATAATAATTTAATGAAACAATTTTTTTTTTACATTTTAAAAATTAAAATAAATTTTTTACATAATACAATTAATTTTTTTTACATACAAATTACTAATAGTGTTAGCCCAATCAAATTACTAATTACTAATTACTAATAATACATAATAATGAATTTATCTTATATTATAATAATAATAATAATTAAATTTAATAGTATTTTACCTACAAATCACATTCACATACGTAATACAATATATTCCATACAAATTACTAATACATACAAATATTTAATTAGTCTTAATTTTTTACATACAAATTACTAACATATTTATAATAATGAATTTATCTTTATTATTTTTAATAACATAATAAAATAATATCTACTTAATTTTTACATACAAGCTTTTAATCCATTTTAATAAAATACAAACTACTTACATATTTAGAATACATAAATTTAAAAAAATTTATAATCTTCCTATCATAATTGAAATTTATTTACGTATACAAAATATTTTATACAATTAAACCAAATATTTCTTATTATTATTAAATAAAAATTATTTAACTAATTTTGTATTATTCTTTAAAAAAATATATAACAAATATATTATACAACATCATATTAATAATATTATACAAACATGTAATTAACAAATATTATTATATTATTCTTTCTTTACAAATTTTTTTAATAATTTAACATAATCAATCAAATTTTATTTTCTAATCTATTAATCTAAACATAAATTAATGAAATAAAATTTAAAATTAACTAAATCAATTTTACTAACCTCTAGTTCTTCTAACTCTTCTAATTCTCTCTAAATCCTGTTTACCTGCAAAACAAAAAATATTTTTTTCAGCATTTTAAAATAATAAACAGAATATAAATTTACATATAAATATAAATAATATCATTATCTTAATTAAAATTAAAAAAATTGTAAAATCTTACCCAAAATTTTTTATTGCAATCTTTTAAAAATAGAGAAGAGGAGGCGTCAGAAGATGAAGAAATAGAAGCAGAAATATGGAAGCATAAATGGAAGAACGAGGAGCGAAGGGGAAGAAGGGGCCGGGACGGTTACTGTTCCGCCTGCCACATGTCAGCCTCCCATTGGTTTCGCCAGTTTTGTTGGCGAAACACTCTTTCGCCACTCACAGCGCGAAACAAATACGATGTCGCCACTTGTCTTCGCCACTCTCCAGTCATTCATTTTCTATTTTTAAAATTTTTGTTTTATTTAATTTTATAGATTTCACGTTTTTAGTGGTGAAACAAGTTGGTCGTATTCACGTGTCATTTCTCTATTAGTTGCGCGGCGGTAATGGCGAAACTCGTAATTAATTTCACTAATTAAATGACAAAACTGTTGATTCGCTGACACGTGCTTAATGTAATGTATTTCGCTCTTCTTGTGACGAAATAATTTTAAAAAAATAAAAAAAAAAGTTTATTTTACCGGTCACTCTGGCGAAACTTAATACCGACGTGACAAATTTACTCCAAACAAAGAAATAATTTGAAAAAATATGTAATTTAAGAAATAGTTTTTATTTTACAATATTTAAATAAAAAAGCTGCGAGGTTGTCTCTCTCACGAAGCATGGTGTACGACTTTGATGGTTTTATAAATAATTTCATCACTATACGTGTGATATGCATGCAATATTTTAAAACTATAATTTTTCTTAATTATGAAGACTAATTTATAAAAAAACGATCTACAAATATTAAAAGTATTTTTAAATTAAAAATTTTGATAAATTATTTTAAAAAATTAAAAATAAGTCATCAAATAAAAAAATCATGAATTTAAAAATATTAAAAATTTATATATTTACGTCAAATATTATTTATACCTTAAAATCATATATATTTATTAATAAAATATATTGATTTGATAAATACATTAATTAATTAAAATATAATAATTATAGTTAATAAAATATTTAAAACAATTTAAACACAATAAAAACTTTTTATTATTGTTAAAAAATATATAGTCTTTTTTAAGTCAATATAAAAAGAATTATTTACTTATATTATGGTAGAAAATTTATAAAATTATTCATGCAATAAAGTTATTTTTCTTAAATTTTAAATTATAACTTCACATTTTAAATATAATAAATATTTTATTTTTTATATGAAAAATTATTTTTTAAAAATATTTTAAAAATTAATATATCATATAAAAAATATAAAGTTAGTTACGTGTTTGATCTACAAAAAATTATACAAATACCTTATTAGAATATTTAAGTTTAAATTGTGTAAATTCTTTTAAATTATAATTAATTAAAATATATATTTAATCTTAATATTTAACATGTTTATGAATTAATTTTTAAATATGATGTTTCAGTTCTTAAATTTAAAAATAATATGTCTGTTAGTTCATATATTTAAAAGAATTAGTATTTTAATTTTTATATAATTATTTTGTTATGATTTATATTAATATTTTTATAACGATAAAAACTAAAACATAAACTACGTAATAAAATATTTAATTTTTTAAATGTAAAAAGTAATTTATAAATGTGTCAATTATAAAAAATAAATAAATAATTTAATTGATTATAAATTTCATTAATAAATATAAAATTTTAATATAATAATATTAAAGTATTTAATAATAGAAGAGATCGAAATACGAGAAA